TGCCATTTATATAATGAGGATAGAGAACTCCTTTTACTGGTAACAAGGCGTACTATATTATTTCTTAGAGTTGACAACGCGTTTACATTTTGATTCTTAATCGAGGATAGGTGTTTAAGGCAGCATACACTTACCATCAGGTAGAGTGTGTGCTCCTTTATCACCCTTATTCTATAAAAGAGGTTATAACTCATAAAGTGATAGCTAAACATTTTTAATAAATATATTAAAGTGCAGGCATAAATTCCACAGCGAAGTAATATATGTCCACGCAACAACTTAACGGTGCAATAAACCCTAAACAGTAAAATGGTGTTGAATATATTAACAATTTACATATTTCTTACGATTATGTCACAACTCACATTCAAACGTCATTCCATACTTGGTGTTATAAACCTTGAAACTGGCAGTACATAACATTCTCTGACATTCTCTTATCACATCAAAGAGAAAGAGATTTAATACTATACGATTGCATTAAATAAAAAATTAAATTACAAAGTAGACTCCATTAATTATAATTTAGTATTTACCCTATAATTCATGAATATCAAGCAAAAATGTGTGAAATAATACTGACTACACAAATTTTTTGTTTATTCTTTAATATTAGATAAACAAAATAAAAGAAAATATCGAAACAAGCGTCTAAAGTTCTATAATCAAATATTTCGTTGTCATCACTATATTTAACGTTAAAATTTACTTCTAATCGGCAATCCTTTCACAGAGCTCAACGTACTTAAATCATGCCTTTGGTTTTACATTCGGTCCAAAATTATTAACAGCGTTGACATAGTTAGCGCTGGTTTACATAACCATATTTAAAAATGAAAATAATTTTAGTACTAATATTTTATCTAAGTTAATATATTTATAAATTAAAATGTATCTGTACAGATTGATTATTTCATGTGACCGACAAAATTATGTGATAAATCAGCCTTTATCCAAGATACAGGTAACCCATTAATGTGGTACAGGCTGAAAAAAGACTCAGTTATCAGGTATGCAAAGCAGAATGTTAAATTTTACTTCATCACCTCTTAGTATTAGTGGGGATTTTTGTAAAAATTTGGTAAGACATACATATATAATATTATTTCTAAAAACTCTTAACATCGGGACCGCTATGATCAACAACAAACCTTTAACGAGTTAAAAATAACAAAACTAGGAATGTACCAACAGAAATTATTAGATATGCTTAAATATAAAAAAGCTTGTAAGTAACATTTCTAAAGATTAACACTAATAAAACAAAGACTATATGTATGATAAAACAAAAAATATACCATACACACGCATTAAAATAACCTTTTGACCGTTTTTATCACAATATCAAAAAAAGATTCGCCTTTGGCGTTTCATAGACTAATAATTTATACACAGGATATTCACACTCATTCTATTAAATAGTTCTGTTAATGATAATTTCTTAGAAGAATACAAGCAAATAAATGTCTTATTAAAATTATATACTACTATAATAATGATTTGCATATCAGTATTGGAATAAATAAAACCCATGAACCACATTAACCATGGTCACGGCAGCCACCCTGCTTGTTAAACCTACATTCTCCTTGACGATTTGAAAATTCCAAACATAGTCTCACAAATCTCATTCCCGTACAGTCATATCGTGTTCATTTGAATTGAATACTTAGCTTTACTTACTAATACGAAGTTAAAATGTGTGAACAAGCTTCTTATTATATAATAATAAAAAGTATTAGTTAAACTTTTATTTTTATTTCTATGTATAGATTTCAAGATTTTTCTTTCATTATTTCATATATATATATAAGTAATTTATCTAACTACATCTACTTCTAGTGCTCTATCTTTTAGCTGTGGTCAATTACTAAGGTGAGCCCTAAAAATGTGCTTCTATCGCTAGAACAAATAAGATTCACATTTGCAAGTAATTAAAACAAAAAATAACAATATTATCGATAAATCTAAACCTTTAAGCAAGTATATTCATACTTGGTTTAGATTAAATTGATAATAATTTTGTTCTATCAACACTGTAAGGTAATCCATAATGTAAAAATATCCACCACTTCATACCGTCTCGTGAGTGTCATAAGAAACGACAAACCAGGAAATGGGCAGGATCGTCTTTCTAAATATACTAAATAACTAGGAAAATAATAAAACTGCATTTGCCAACCCGCATACTATGCATAAAAACTATGGAAAACATCATTTAAGGCAATCTATGGGGGTCTAAGTTCAGCCATGGATTTTTGAAAGGCTGTAATGGTATACTGACCAAACTAAATACTTAGATATCTGTTTTAGTATGTACTACGTGTAATTAAATAAAAGAGGTAAGGTAATAACATCGTATCTATTGAAAGAGAAGCACATTTTAAGGCGGCACTATGAAGCTTCCTAGATAATTTAACTGTTTTTGTGACGATTGCGTGGATAACATAATACTCTTTCTTGTTACAAATCGGAGTAATTTACACCACAAAAATATTATTGCTTTCAGAGGTTCTGCGTTACCGTTAAAAATATCATATTTATAATCACATTTCTCTTTTTAAATCGCCTTCAATCACAATTACCAGCGCTCCAGAAGCAATTGTGCACGCTATCCAAAAATATAATATATATACATGACCACTAGCTAAACCAACTATTCATTCGAAACGAAAACGAGAGAATTTCATGGAAAATTAATACATCAAAACTTTTGGCGTAATACATCTCGAAATACTGGTTTCGTACCCGCCACCACTACATATAGATATATAAATATAACATCTTAAAATTAGCAATCCAAAAATATAAAATGTACATGTTGCAATCGTGCGCCCTCGGGTGTCCCGTGTCTCGCAAGCGAATCGCTTCCCTATAGTTAGTGCCAACAATGTTAATATCGCTTGTAACTGTAATGCGACCTTCGTCGTTTTACCACCAGAGGGTGCAAAAGCCGCCACAACTGGACGGTTATATTCGAACTGCGTCGCGTAACATTCATAATTTTCATCTAACAGTCGCCAGTTTACTATTTGACAAGTTTCAATATACCATTCCATTGCGCAATTCACTAAGAATTCAAATACTTAATAATTGATATCAGATAAACTATTTTACTAAAACTGCTCAATCAAAAAATCACTATCAAATCTGGGCAAAATGGACATTGAATTTTGTAAACAATAAACCAGCTTACCTACAAAATTACAGCTCGGGGCCATTTAATTTTTTTAGTATTAAAAAATAAAGGAGCAACGCGGATGCTACTAAATAAACAAAGTTAAAAAAATCGAGAAAGAAATTTAAGGAAAGTAATTTAATTTTTTTCGTGTATTGTAGTTGCATTTTTGTTTGTTTTTAAACACAATCTGGTGTATCATAGTAAAGAGAAAACCTTTTCCGTGGCCCTGCACAAGCAAAGCAACCTTTATCGTTCGTAACTTTTGCTTTATAAAAATACGAATCGAAAATATTTCGACGGCAGCCAGTCGTCTTATGATTAAGCTATGATTACTTCTAAAATCTTAGTCTATGATCTATAATACTACGATAAAATATCAGAGAATTCAGAAAAGGGGAATATTTAGGTAGTTATTTCTATATTTAAGTGGTGCACAACCTTATTTTTCATGAACGCTAGATAAGTATGGGATTTAGCTTTATTGAGAACTTAAAACAAAATCACTATCTTATGAACTAATTCTAGATAGTTTGGATAACTAATTTATTTTACGACTTGAAATAGGAACTAGGGTGGGAAAAATCAAAAATATTAAAGTAACGCAAATATAATAAAATATTCCTAAAGTAAGTCAACAATGGTACAATCAAAAACAATAGATATTTGAATAAGTTCAAAGAACTTCATTAGATTCATGTGATGCTTGTAGTCTACAGGAAAGTTGAGAATTAAAAGTTTCAGTTATTCGTCTAAGGCTTTCAATGCATAGACTAAGAAAGAATTAATCTATTTAGGCTGGAATGAAACCTTTACGGTAAACTTTAGACCAATAGTAAAACTAATTATTTTTTTCTTAAATACGATAAAATCTCAAAATACTCACAGCTCATCGGGTTTATTGTAATATACGCTAGGTGCATCTACTTTATAAGAACAGTGGCTTTTTAATAATTTGAATTTGTACTTAACCTACATTCTTTTACTCCATCATGAAAATTAGTAATAGAGCCTAAAACTCGTGATTGATTTAAAACATACAAAAAAAAACAAAAAGAAGTCATTTTTGGATGTAGTCTATAAACTGCAACTTCATACAAGAATTTTTAAATAATCGATTGAATACAATAATCATTTCTAAACCTTCATCAAACAATTGCCAATATACGGATGTTTTAGGTAAATTACATCCAATTTAGAGTTTTCAAAAATATGATTCCAATAAACGCCCTAAACAAACATCTCAAAAATACATTATGAAAATATAATACAAATACGATAAAATTTATACTAAATATAACCCTGTCTATGACCTGAAGAGTTTAACTTAAAGAAGAATTTGAATCCAAACTCTGAACAAGTCATTTCTAAGGAAATTTAACAAAATTCGAACGACACTCAGCCGAACTTAATAAAGGACTGAATACTTAGCAAAGCAATAGTCAAAGCTTTTGTAATTTGCCTACTATTTGGATGAGATTTCTAGAAATAAATGGTTATACTCAAGGTCGGGGTTGTCTCACAACTCCGTGAAACCTGTTTTATAAAGGCTTTTAGTTTATTTAATAAAGATGAAATCGATACATGGTAAAGTGATGTTAGAAAGGAACAGCTATATATATATTAGACAACCTGAATGAGTCACTCCAACAATACCAATACAATGAATATAATGATTCCATTATATAGTTTGAAACCAGCGTTATCATCTTGGTTTTGCTACTTATGTCATTCAATGAGCTGTAGCCGAAATTAACACATTCAAAGGGATTGACCAACTAATAAATTTACAATACTATTCTAGGTTAGCTATGTAGTTGGGTCAAGTTTTAAACAAAAGTTCAAGTAACAGATCGTCATCAGCGTCCATAGGTGACTCGGGTGCTAAATAATCTATGATCCTGTAACAAAAATAAAGGAAATATTTCAATGGTTAAAAAAATTTAATCAAATTGTATAGTTGGTTAAATTCATTAACTTATGCGTTCATAGTTTTCATATTGCATGAACTACACTCGGCGTCAAAAAAAATCGAACATCCGAAAAAAATAATTTAAATACTATTTTAACACAACAGGCCAATGGCAATGTTGAAACAGAAACAGAAACAGAAACTTTTTTATTCAATATAGATTATAAATAATACTTATTGAAAGTCACTCTTTTGTTTGATTACCACTGGTTCGGAAAAAACCTCTGTCCTGGGAAGAACCAGCAAGAAACCCAGCGGGACTTTTTTTAAAATAACAGCTTACAATCATGATATTACACAAATTAACAACACAACAAATTAGAAATAGCTTGGTAGCGATCACCTCATTTCCAGGGGTTATTATCATCTATAAATTCATTAATATTATAATAACCCTTTTTATACAAACTTAGTTTAATAAAGTTTTTGAACTTTGAACAGGCCAAACTTTGTATATTTTCTGGAATTTTGTTGTAAAAGCGTATACATCGCCCCAAGAATGAATTACTGACTCGATGGAGTCGAGTAACTGGTACTACTAGCTTGTGTCTGTTCCTAGTATTTACAGAATGAATATCACTTATTTTTCTAAAACTACTTTTATTTTTGTGTACGTACATTACATTTTCATAAATGTATTGAGAGGCCAAAGTTAATATATTAATTTCCTTAAATTTTTGTCGCAGCGACTCTTTAGGCTTTAAATCATAAATTGCTCTTATGGCCCTCTTCTGCAAAACAAATATAATTTCAGTGTCAGCTGCGTGTCCCCATAGCAAAATACCATACGACATTATGCTATGGAAGTAGCTTAAGTAAACTAGTCTAGCTGTTTCAACACTGGTTAGACTTCTAATCTTTTTTACAGCATATGCTGCAGAACTAAGTCTGCTTGCTAGTTTTGATATATTGGGGCTTCATTGAAGCTTCGCGTCTAGTGTGATTCCAAGAAAAATGGTGGTATCTACAAAACTCAGTTTCTCCCCATTTAAAATTACATTAGTATTTAATTAATATTTATTTAGTTGTGGTTTGAGGGTATCATTCGAAAGGCAATTTCATTAGCTTTCAGGAATTTTAATTGAATTTTACTTTTATAACGAGACGAAAGAGAAATTAAAGAAAAAGACAGGGTATGTACAAATTTGCAAATTAATAACTTAAAAAAAAACCTAATAAATACAAAAAAAGTTCTTAAAACCTAGTGTTACCCCCCCTTGCCTTGATAACGGCTTCCATGCAATCTTTCATGGACCTTATAAGGGTCGCAACAGCCTCTTGGGGTATTTGTTCCCACTCTTCAAGTACCGCATCTTGGAGCTCTTGAAGAGTGGTTGGAGCTGGATTTCGATCTCACATGCGCCGTTTTAGGTCATCCCAGAGATGTTCTATTGGGTTATGGTCTGGACTTCGTGCTGGCCAATGCATAACAGGGATATCGACCTCCTGTAAATAATCCCGTACAATAGCCGCGGTGTGGCAACGAGCATTATCATGCATTAACATGAATCCATCACCGACAGAACCAGCATACGGGACCACATGTTCCTCCAGGATTTCAGTAATGTACCGACCAGCATTTAATGACCCTTGCCCACGGCCACCCCGAGTCCGGGAAACGCACACAAGTTCCGTTTTCCCGTCGACGGAAATGCCGCCCCAAAACATACACGAGCCACCCCCGTATTGGACGGATTCTTCGAAGCACGGTTGTGTGAACCTCTCCCCCTATCTTCTGTAGACCCTTCTACGTCTGACATTGCAGAATAGCCATACAGCCATTTTTCGCGCAAACTCAGAGAGGTGCGATTTTTGTGACGCTGAGTGTATTAGTAGTTTCAAAAATTTATATATTTTATAATAATAATTCATTACTGCGCTATAAGCTTGTGGTGTACTAATATTGGGGTTTTTGAGATAGTTATTTCAATATTTGGTTAATTGTACCACCTTTATATTACGCAATAATGAATTAGACTCCTTATTATTTGGGATCAAAGACATTAATTCTCATAAGAATTTACATAAATTCACTTAAATGAGTAATACGTAAAAACAAATACATATTTAGTGTTAGGCAGTCAGTGGTCATCGAGCATGCCAGGCAAAGTATATATATATATATATATATATATATATATATATATATATATATATATATATATATATATATATTACCATCGTAACAGGATCGAAAATCGGCCGTGCAAACAAAAACAAATGGGGCATGCGAACACAGATACATGGATTTAAAGATGTTTAACTAGAATTGACTAGCCATAAGAATGAGAACGATTGTAATGTTGTTATATTTTATTAATTATTAATATGATTGTTTAATGGTGGTCAGTAATCGTAGTGATGGTTTTTACAATTTTTTGTTCATTATATATTTATTTGTATTTCATTACAATAGTATAAATTTCAACCCACCTATTGGGCGTGGGCGGCGTATTGGTGGTGTGCTGCGATGAGCTTGGGTGGGCATCCTGGTACAGCTGGGCCACCTTCCCGTTTTCTGCTCGTGCGTTCTGCAACCTATTACAATGTTTTTAATATGACCATTTTCATTTCTTCTTTTATACTTTTTGATATCTTCTATTTAATAGTTAAATACTTCAATATCTCATTTCAAAGTTTTGTTAAAGATATTTTCCAGATTTAATATTTTAATTGGGCTGTACAGAATAAGCCACGTACATAGTACACGCCATATCACAGTGAATTTTTATTTTGTATTTTAAACTCTTATTGGAACGGACGAGGATATTAAACCATGATCTGTGACTTAGTTACTCTGATCACTAAGCTGTGAGACCGATAAAATTATTATTTTTGAAACAGTGAAAGAGTGAGGAATCCATGGAGTAAATTTGCTCTGTGGAAGAATCCTAATGATATTTGGACTTCCTTGTATTAAAAAACGCCTGACTACCGCCTGGATAAAATATAGAGGTATGAATAATAGGGTGTTTTGGAAAAACAGTAGTACAAAAAGAGTATAACACATACACATAAAATGAATAAATAAGCCTTCGATTTCGTTCAATGATAATAATTCAATAAAATTATTAGATTTAATTTAAAATGTATTCTAATGAGCTAACGGGTTTGTCAATTTATTAGTGCAGTAAAGGAGATATCATTGTACTCGTAAGAGTTAATAACAGTAAGGTTACATCAATTATCTAAGATTTTATCGATAATAGTTTCAATAAAGCCATGACACGCAACAATTAAGAGCCACCAAGACGATTTAATTTAGTTCCCTCTTCTGCCACTATAGCGCTAACAACGCCACACGGTGGTGGTCTTAATCTTAACTACTGTAATCATATTACGAATTCAAGTGTTTCGTTGTGTACAATTAACGACATAAAATATGACAACAAATATTATTCCTTTTTAGAATTAAAACCACAACCATACCTACGACCATTTTGCAAAGTAATAATTTCATTTATTGCAACGAAGTTCCTTATCAGACGGTATGAATTTGGCGGATATGGGCTAGGCGAGAAAAAGGTGGAAGATTTTTCCGTCACGACCCCTTCTGACGTAGTGTAGACAGCCTTGGCAGCTATAAGAAAGCGAGATGGAATAATATCCATCTCCCTCGCACTTTTTCTTAGACGCTAATAATTCATTTATTGTTAATCAATAATATAATACTTTTATCAATAATAATATACTACAAAAGGAACTTCTTTCCAGCCGAGTGTTCCACGAAACTCACTTAAATATATAACAAAATCATCTAAATAATAATTTATTTATTTAAATGAGTTTTTTATATATATTTGAGCGAATTTTCTAAGCTTCTATTCTTTATTTGTTCTATTATATTCTAGCAAAAGTATTTTTGTTTCGTAAAGTCAGACTGAAAACTAAAATACTTTAAAACTTACACTAGTTGATATTTCTTCCCAGGTACTGGCAGCGTGAAAAAAGCATTTTATTATGATTGTTACTAGTAAGTAATGTTTTTCTTTTTTTTAATTATTAAAATAAATATAAATTTTAAAACACATACACATTTAAAGAAATATTTTTATCTGCTAAAACAACCGAGGCATCTTTTAAGAATTTTATAAATATGAATTGATAAATTATGCCGAAAAAAATCACTCAATGTTTACTCATAGTCGGTTTTTCCCACGAAGCAAATACAAAGAGGAGATGGCATAAGCAACTGTGCACTGTGATTCTAACTAGGTCCTGACATCATCACGGTGGGCGTGGCTTTACTTAGTATACTTTCAGCGTTCGTCCTGTGCGCTTATGTATCTAAAATCGCAAATCGGTGTATTTTCGTAGTATTAAGAAGAGAAGGATGAAGTGTTGTGATTCATCGAGTAAGAACTACTCAGATAGACGCTCTAATATTATGGATGGCATCACATTTCATTTGTAAGTAATTTTATATCTAATTTATTAAAAAGGTTCTGGAAAAATCTCTGCGTCGGCTTTCAAATGGCGACACTTTGTGTCCAGGGAACTAAAAATATAAAGGTACGTAGAGCTCAGTATTGGCAAAATAATCATACGAAGGTGTTGAGATTTGTTTTGCATTTAGTCCTAAAGAATTTTTAATCGCCAAAATATTATTTTTATAGTTTTTATAATAATTTTGTGAACAAGCCGCCATTTATCGTCAAGGTAGCTGAACTAGATTGCAACATCGATATGGAACGATGCGAGTAGTTTTACTACTTATCGGTAGATGGAAAATAGCAAAGTGAAATCTAATTACAACACCTGCTCTTTGTATTTGCTCCGTGGTTTTTCGTCTACTTCTTTTACAATAAGCTTTTAATTATTCTTACGCTAGTGCTTTTTATGAAACATAAATATATGATCTAAAATTCATAGGTACTTACATTATACGTAAACAAAAAACTTTCTATGCCCTTTTGAAAATAATGCGCGCACGGTGCATTGTTTGATTTGGCATAGCTAAAATTTATATGGAGTGCAGAAAGCTAAAATTTATTTATAATATGTGCTACAAATACATTAAGTTAAATTAAATAAAACAGTTATCATTGACCTTCATGCTGCCAACATCAGAAACATAATAGTCTATTGGGTCAAGCCTTGGGTCAATTTTAAAATATCGCCACCAAATAATTTCTGAGAGATTGTCTGAATAAGCTGTGAATTTTAAGTGATTTCTATGTATGTAATGATTCTAAGGTGATTAAGTTCCTTTCCGTTCCTTTTATTTAAGTCGGTGGAATGTATAATATCAAGGCAAGTAAAATATAGCTTGCTTGATATTCAAACTTATAAATAAAATGCATTACGATATGGCATTTCGACCAATGGGGCGACCACTAGTTTTTATATAAATGCGTTGCAAGTTAAATTTTACAAAAATAAAAGAAAACCATTTAAATGCTTACTTGATCTTAGACTGCCTCATAAATTGCTGAATTTTCCTCGCCGCTTGATTCTGACGTCTTTGAGAGTATGTTCTTCTACTTAAACAGCGAAAATTAAAATAGGTTAAGAACATAATCTATAAACCACAATATACTTTAATTTAGAAAGTAAATCACAAAAAGTGATTTTAAAAATTTTTTTTTTAAATTTTCAAAATTCGTTCAGGCGTCTTCAAGTAATCGGTGTACATACATTAAAAAAAGGATTCCGACAAATTGTAAACCTCCTCCTTTTTAAAGGCGGTTGAAAATGTGGATGATTGGCAAATAAGTTGGATTTTATGGCTGAGATACAATTATTATAACAATTTCTGAGTCTTTATAAAAAAATATGTTACCGTTACCGCCTATTAAAGTCCCCTGATGAACATAGGCCTTGCCTTATAGGGTGGATATCTGCCATAGTTGCCACACTTGGCAAGCGGGTTGGCAACCGCAGTTTATTTTTTCTGCTGACTTCCAAATAGGAGACGGTACTCAATTCAACTGCATTTTTTTTTGTTTTTTTTTTTTTGTTTTTTTTATGTGTTACCTCATATCTTCTTACTGGGTGGACCGATTTCGATAATTCTTAGCTAGTAGTTCTCGTGTGGTCCCATATAAATTTGATCAAGGTCAAGCCAATAGTTTTTGAGTTATTATTAATAATTTTATGTATGATGCCATGTGCATTCTTTATGCTGACAAAAATCAAGATGAAATAGAGAAAAAGGTACAAAGTCATCTTAACAAATTTAAGTAGTCTCATGATAATGGAATTATTATTAATATAGCAAAAACTAAAGGAATGCATATATCATCGCCGCATAATGTTAAAAATGCAAAAGAATATAAGATAGTGGTGCACTCATACCAATGAATACACGAAAATATGCTTAATTGTAAATGTGCAACTATAGAATTTGTAAAAATTTAGAACGCGTAACAATAGATAGAAATCTGAACTGGGGTAGCGATATAGAACAGGTGTGTAATAAATTAAGAGGCATATTAAATAAATTCCATTTTTTGAAGAAAGTAACATCTAAAGCCGTACTGTATGTTGTTTATTACACACTAGTTAAGTCAACGTTGCAATATGGGTTAGTAGCATATGGAAGGACTTTTAAAACATATAATAGATAAATTAAAGCAGTTTCAAATTAGATTTATGAAAATATTGGCTAACCCAAAAGCTAACATTAAATTTAGAGATAATTATGAGCAGCTCTTCCAGGAGTGTAGTTTAATACCGATTCACGAGCAATTTAAAATATCATTTGCGACATGTGATAAGTATTATTCAATCCTATATATAGCATTGTGTAGCTTTATGCCCATAAATAAGAACACGCGCAGACCGCGTAAAATAATAACATTTTAATATAGATGTGCTAATTATTATGGCAAAAGAACGTTCCAACACATTTACAACAATTTACCGGAAGAATAAAACAAAAATACATTTTAAAAATAAATTACAAAACTTTATAGTAATAAATAGTATAAAAATTGACATATGTATCGTAATGATCCATTATACAACAATATAAGCCGTAGTTATTATGTATGGGTGTGTACGTGTGTATATATGTGTATGTGTATATGTATATGTATATATTGATACGATTGATTTGTTATATTTGAAAGTGTATATTTGTATAAATTTTTTTTTGCATGTTAGGAAGTAAGAGAGCATTTTTTTCTGCCAACAATCTGCTGAGCAGTTTGGCAGACTGTAAAACTTTAATAGTGTAAAGGAGAAGGAGACGTCACCATACATTCTTGGGTCCAAGTGTTAACAAGATGAAAGTAAGACCATTTGAAAACGTATATATAAACAATTCATAGCTGAAAATCTGGCAAGATTTGTCAAACTAGGAGCTGAGTTATTGTAGAATAAGTAAAAGTGAGATTATCTATTACCTACACTGTAACAGGTGATTTTTCACGGTTATTACACTGTAACAGGCTATTTTTCACTATAATTACCTAAGATATAAAAGCAGGATCAGTATAAAATCACCAAAAAAACTGTGGTTAATAATAAAACAAAATGGCGAAACGATTAACGAAAGTGATTACTTCAATTATTGTTGTTGTAACTGTTACTTGTTTCAATTTTGATATTTTGTATTTTTTATTATTATTTTGTAGATATGTACGCATTATCTCTATAGTTAACACAGAAAAATAATCGAAAATAGATATTAAAAGAGCTACTTTTTTGTATTTTACCTAAGAAAATATTGCAATTTTTTAAAGTATAAACCAATTAGTTAATTTCAGGCCCGAAAATCCCTTTCTCCTTTAAATGTTTAATTAATAAATAAAAAATTGTAATAGCGTCTCTGGAGGAGGCAAAAAGCTAACGTTCTGCTTTAATGCGTGACGGTGGACACGTATCCTTAAAGCACTTATATTTTTTGCGGACATGCGAACGTGCATGCCATTCGTATAGGCATGGTATACTCGTGTATGCCATCCTACAATATACTCCTTCGCCATCTGAATAAATTCTTAAAACTGCAATTCATTGATGCCGGTGGTGATCGAACTTGGTTTGGTTTCATGCTATTGAAATTTCAAGGCGAACTCATGTTTGCTGAGCTACTGCGCCTCTGTAGTAGATACAGTTGCTACTGAATTTTAGAGAACTTACTTGACAGGTGTTGCTGCAAGTCGTCGCTCTCGCAATGAGCGATATCCACGTTGTATTACAGTCGCTGCGGCATGCATTTGCTTTAAATAGGCAAACTGTAAAAAAAAACACAAATGCATTAAACGCAATACATATCAAATCGAGAGCCGTTATGCTGGTATATGGTTATCTTAGGTTTGGGTTTTGAGTATTTATATTATTATGTTTGGGTTTATTTTTCGGCATTCTCTTTGATTTTATCAAATTGGTTCGTGTACATTAATATATATTTACTAAACCTTCTAAGTGGTAATTTCATTTTCAATATGAATAAAATACACCTTATACATTACTTCTAAAGATACTCATTACAATTTACGATTTGTCAGTAGTTCAAATTAGTACAGTAATGTTAGTAGACTACTACGCGTCGATGGTTTTTTCCCCGTATATACATAATAAAATTTGAAGTGAGAACTGAGCCTTTGAACTACCACGTTACACATTCCATATATATGGGAATTTTGAGTTTGAGAAGAGAAGTGTAACGAAGACATGAGAAATATCCGATAGCGACGAAAAAAGTACTTTTTAGTAAACAGTCCACAACTGAAAATAGGCCTCTCGCATAGGAAGGGTCTCTCTCGTAGTAGCCAGTTCAAGTATCTGACTTATACGTGAAAGTTACACCACCATCCACTGCAGGATAAGACTTTTTTTTTTATTTTTCACATGCGCCACTAACGCCAGCCGGGCGAGACGGGATATAATTTCCCTTAAGCCAAAAATTCATTGATTCGTGACAGAAATTTTCAATTGTTGCCACGTTACACGAGCGAATTCGCAGCCGTGGTGTTTTTTTTTTATTATTTTGAATTATCCGGTTAGTGTTATCAGGATGATGACGCTGACCATTTCATGTTTCATTTCCATCTGTCGTTTCTTACGAAACCCACATATATTATGGCGTCTCTATCTAAACGGCATATATATAGCCAAAAATATTTACCTGCTTATATCTACGGTAGCAATTTTGTATAGTTATTGCAGCGGCCGCAGCACGTCTTTGCAGCTGTCGCCCACGATATTGACGATACGCCTTCTGAATCGTTATTGCAGCCGAGTACAATTCACGTTGCTCTCGGTCTAAAAAACATTTAATTAACTGCAGAAATTTATAAAATCGCACTTTGATGAAGAACAAGAATCGGCAAGATGAGAGTTAGATCTGGATACATTGTTAAAGACGTGACACAATCACAACCCGTTCATAAACATATTGACCATGCCTGGGTTTCGAAGCCAGAACCTGTGACTCAGCAGTCAGCTTTTTTAATAGATGTAAGAGTGACCAACCAGTCTACGTGAATCCCTAATTAAGTATCAAAATTCAGATGCGTTGTTATTTTTAAAATTTACTTAAATAAAAAATACCATTTTAGAAGTGTTTTAAAATAAGCAAAAGTTTGTAAACATTAACTTACCATTTAAAGTCAAACTTGAAAAATGTGAAGTGGCGTTCAGAAATTCCTGCAGTGTAGCTGAAGGTGTACCGGGTAACGGTGCACGAGGGGAAGGCGGAGGCGGTGACAAAGCTGAACCTGGTGACACCGATCCTGACGAGCACGGTGTTGACCCTCCGCAATATCTGATGCACAAAATACATTTTTCATAGAGTGGTATACTCCCTTTTTATTTCATTTTTCTATGAGCAGGTACTTTGGTATATTCTGTGACCTACGCAAAGCCTTCGATTGTGTTAACAATGAGACATTAATCAGGAAACTACAACACTATGGTGTAACAAACGATGCTCTTAAACTAATTATTTTATATTGGAGTAACAGAATGCAAAAAGTTCTTATTAACAGTATGAGTTCTTACGGTTCGACAACACAAACGGGCATGCCTCAGGGCCGAAATCTCGGCCCCTTTCTGTTTTTTGTCTATATTAATGATTTGCCTTTCATAGAAGGGGTAATGATAACCATGACATAGCATTATTTGCTAATGATAATTTATTCATTTTCATACATATTTAAATTAATAAATTGGTTAAACGTTAATATATAGAATAATATAATGGAACATTTTAATATAATATAGATCATATGTGTAATACTTATTAAAAATCATCTTTTATTTTACCACTGGTTCGAAAATAAAAACCTTCTAGCCTGGAAAGAACCAGCAAGAAACACAGCGGGACTTTTTTTGAAGTTAGTTTTTTAAATGAATGTTTGTACAAACTATTTACAAATTTATTTTAGAAACGGCTTGGAAGATATTCTTTAACTGAGCGGGCATAGTGTGCCAAGTTGCTGTCTTGCTGGAATCACATGTATCTGTTAATGCTGAGTGGCACGTCTGCCAACAACTTAAGTAAATTATTTTGTTAAATATCCAAATAAACTTCGCCATTCAAGACTTCTGGCAGCTCAAAAGCTCCAACGATTTTCTATATAATATGTATATGTGATAATGTTTTTTTTTGTTCTTTTTTTAAACAAAAAAAAGCAAACGTGGATTTTATACATGCCTCTCGTGTAAGTTATGTGGATTCATGTAACCATATTTTTTAAATATCGACTCATAAGACCATAAAATTTTCTCGAAGAATCGCAGATCTTCCAGGTGTCTTTGTATCATCGTTTGACAAAACGCAACTCTTGGAAGATATTCTCGGGGTAGTAAAGTTTGTGCTCGTTTTACGTGATGCAGGTGAAACTTTTCTTTTTGCATAAATCGGTGGGCTGTACTTTTGGGTACTCCTGCGCTTGCTGCAATTACGTGTACTGAAGTACGTGTAATTGGACGTGGTTTTCTTCGATTGCTTGTAGTACGATGACCTCGTAAGGAAAATAAATTCTTCCTTCACCATGTGCTTGGTATAGGAATCGGCCCTATGAGAATATACGATGCATATTTGTAAAAAAACTCGATAATCCGGATGACGAGCAGCATTTGAGTACCTCTCATGATAAACTCTAGCTGCAGCACTAGCATTGCCTCTGCATTCCCCATAAATATAATGCATGTTGGCATATTCCTGTGTGGTGTACACAGACATGATGGCACTAAACAATCACATGATCAACGATAGTTCAGCGGGGAAAGCAAAGGTCGACAGAAAGTTATACTAAACAGTCCAAATAAAAATCACAAGCAATCAAGTCCAATAAACAAAGCAAAAAGTGGTAAGTAGGTACTAAATCTACACGAACACGGAAAGGTGCTCAGTAAATAAGACGTGCGTTTGTGAAGATGGACACCAGTGACTATTGTCTCGCTCGCGCTAGTCAAATGGTGTATCTATTCATCTCACACATTAATAAAAGTGGTAACGGGAGTTAAAAGAAAATCAAAACGCTGCAGATTTTCTCGATTTTTGAAAATATCTATTATTTTTAATAATGCGGAACTTAATGATTTCTTATATTTACACGAACACTACATATTGAATAAAACTATATTTATGGATTTTATCGCGTTTAATTTACTTATTTTTAATTCCTGACGTTTTGGATGCTTTACTGCAAACCTTAATCACGGGGTGATTGAGATGTTTGACGTCCTGATGTCATAATTAGCCCGGATACCTTCAGTTTTTGAATATTAATTTTGGTTCAATTTATGCAGAATGAGCTTACAGTACCTTGAATTTTTGCAGTGGTATGCTTGGGTTTTGATTTAATTTTCTTAATTATAGGACCGCTAGCAGATACGAGCACCACAACAACAAACAGTACTATGAAACAATATTACACTATGAAAGGCACACCAAAGTCGATATAACACCACTTTTTCACTTGAGGATGCTTCGTTTAAAGGCAAAACGAGGTGCATCATATTATTTTATTACGTGAAACTTAGTTAATTACTTTTTAAGATCTTTATTTATTTTGTGTAGTGAATTGTGTAGCATATTAAATGATTGTAGGGCTTGGATAAAATTACGCACAGAGACAGCGGAAGATTAATTCAAGTTGCCAAATAATGATAGCTGTCACAAAAAGGGAGCACGTATTTCATAGTATAAGATATAAATACCTGTAAGTATTATCGCTGAATTCAAAACTGAACTCTGTGTGAAAACTTGTAGTGTCGTCCAGTAGCGGCACCATCAAGACATCTTCCCCGCCGCCTGTTCCATTTTCCAGCCCACATCCCGACAGCAGTGATGAACTTTCGTTCTTTAATACAAAGAAATAATATTATGGATTACAGCAAAAACAGAAACAGAAACTTTTTTATTCAATATAGATTATAAATAATACTTATTGAAAGTCACTCTTTTGTTTGATTACCACTGGTTTGGAAAAAACCTCTGTCCTGGGAAGAACAAGAAACCCATCGGGACTTTTTTTTAAATAACAGCTTACAATCATGATGTTACACAAATTAACAACACAACAAATTAGAAATAGCTTGGTAGCGATCACCTCATTTCCAGGGTTTTTTTTATATGATAAGGGTGACAAACGAGCACACAGTTCACCCGACGGTAAGTGGCAGCTGCGGCCCATAGACATCTACATCTATCCTCTATTACAAATCAAAATGTAGATGCGTTGTCACCCGTGAGGACTAAGATGGAATGCCTCATTTTCAGTAAAAAGGGCCTCCGGCCACCTGCACTCACCAAACGAAACGCAGAAGTAAACCTCTACTTCACGCTGGTTTTCTGTGAGGTCGTGGTACCACCCCGGTTAGAGCCGGCCCATCCGTACGACAGCAAAAGCTGCCGCGTGGCTCTACCACTGTTAAAAAGGTTATTATCATCCATAAATTCCCTCAATATTATAATAACCCTTTTTATTCAAAATTAGTTTAATAAAGTTTTTGAATTTTGAGCAGGTCAAACTTTGTATATTTTCTGGAATTTTGTTGTAAAAGCATATACATCGCCCCAAGAATTAATTACTGACTCGATGGAGTCGAGTAACTGGTACTACTAGCTTGTTTCTGTTCCTAGTATTTACAGAATGAATATCACTTATTTTTGTAAAACTACTTTTATTTTTGTGTACGTACATTAAATTTTCATAAATATATTGAGAGGCCAAAGTTAATATATTAATTTCCTTAAATTTTTGACGCAGCGACTCTTTAGGCTTTAAATCATAAATTGCTCTTATGGCCCTCTTCTGTAAAACAAATATAATTTCAGTGTCAGCTGCGTGTCCCCATAGCAAAATACCATACGACCTTATGCTATGGAAATAGCTAAAGTAAACTAGTCTAGCTGTTTCAACACTGGTTAGATTTCTAATAATTTTTACAGCATATGCTGCAGAACTAAGTCTGCTTGCTAATTTTGATATATGGGGGCTCCATTGAAGCTTCGCGTTTAGTGTGATTCCAAGAAAAATGGTGGTTTCTACAAGACTCAGTCAGCACTTACATAAATGCCTTTATTAATATAAATGTACCATTTCTAATTATATTTACTGTATTTTATTGTTTCAGAATTTTTGTTTAAATATATTTCTGAATATGGTTTAGGAAACTTGGGGATCAGAGCCAGGGATACCCTTTCTCGTTAGACCTGAGGGTTAATAATTCTGATAAATAAACAGATTTTCGCTGGTACTATAATCTAGAACTCTATTTTCTATCTAAAATGTTTAACAAATAAAACGACAAAAAAGTTGAAATTCTCACCTTTATTCTTTCTGGCATCGCGGCTATAATCTGCTCTGCCAGAGTAAACACTCGGTCATCCTGCTCCCCTGAAAGTTTGTTATGAAGTAGAATCTTGAACGTATTATTTTGCTGATCTTCATTGGGGCGTTTATACATAAAACATTTTTTTTTGCATACTTAAAGTACTGGCCCATGAATAAAAAATAAAAAATGATTCAATTGTATAAGTACTTTCTTGAAAGTCAAAATAAAATACGAGTATTATGTAAACAAGGGATTTTTAATAAACTTATGATGCAGTATATAGTACATAAAATATAATTTCGTGCTAATAAATATTTGTACAATTTTTTCAACGCACAGTAGACGCACGGTCGTCAGATTAATCACATTTTGGACTTGTAATTAGGAATAGAGCATTTATTTTATGGACACTACACGAATATTGTCAAAATGTTCTTCTAGCCATTGTGAATTACAAATAGTGAGAAACATTATAAATCAATAGCAATAACAGTGAAAAGAAAAGGATGTGCGTTCTGCGTTCATAAACTATTTAAACACACTTACCAGAGAAAACATTATCATGAAACTAATCAATGTATCACTACACATAAAAAGCACCAATTATATATCAATTCATGCAAGCAGCTGAATCACCATGCAGTGCACTGTTAAATTGTCGCAATAAAGTGTTCTGGACCTACAACTTTGTGTTCTGAGATTTAATTTCTGAAGACATTTAAAGGTAAAGCGATTGTTTATGAAGTGTCTGAAAGTACAGTAGTGAGTAGACCGATACGAACCATTGAAAGCGACACCGATAGACAACATCGAATAAACTAAACCGAACTTTCTGTTGTGCTACTTACTTAAATATATACTTATAATGTTATAAAATGCAACAGTAACGTAAATTAGATCTATAAAGACAGTTCAATCGATAACAGAACATCTAAAATTTTAATTTTGCTCCATAACTTTATCTTATTAACATTAAGAAAATACATGATATTAAATTTAAATGCCACATTAACATATTCTTCAATCACCTGTAAGAAATAGATTTGGAAATACATATTTCTAGAATCTCCTATAGATTGAATTACTGCCTTTACAATTGGAAAAGGGGTTGTGAATATAAATATTCGGTTTAGCTTTGTTTACATCTACAATCATCAACACCAGGGATCTCCGCTCGATTTGGGATATAGAACAACAGAAGAATCTACAAGTGGTCTACCGATAGCAATGACGTTCCGGACTACAGATTCATAATGGCGATAGAGAGGGACAAACATATAAAGACAATCATTGGTTAGAAGAAGACGGTCGGCCTTAGCGGCAATGCAACTACTACATTCACAACATCGATATAGACGAGCGGAGGGTTTGCTGCGACTTGAAATGGTATAGACCAATCTTTCTAATTCTAACCGTCAATATTTTGATACAATATTTAATTTTGTATGGCTTACATTTCTTCCCATAACATATATTTCACATTAGTTAATATGATAATCTTTACTTACACTAAACCAATGTGAGTTATTATCTACATCACCACTTTACGTCAAATGGCATTGTAGTCAAGACTTGGCTTAATGCAAGTAAAAAGTATTTTTATTAAGTAAGTAAATAAGTTAAATATTATTACAGTAAATTTTATTTAAATCACTTTGATGTAATGTGAAATATTTAGTATGTTTTATAATAGGACTTTAAACATGCCATTTAATTTTCAACAAGAAGCTACTATTGGATAGACGTCTATACCGTTTCACGTATGACAGCGAACTGACCTGCAGTGGAGGGCGGTGATGGGGAGGCGGCGGGCGAGGAGGCTGTGGACAGCGCCTCCACGTCTATGAGCGGGCTCGCCGCACGCCGCGGCGCCGTCTCGCCTGCACAACAGCGGGCGTGGGCACGGCTTGCCAGCGAGTGAGCTCCTTCTATCGTCTGATTTTCTACTACGTCTTAGTACTCTCCTTACTTTCTTAAGCCCTATTGTATCTTATCCCTTTTATTTTAGCTCCATTGTAATATTATATTTATTTTTATAATAACTGACGGTTTACACTAAAATGTTCACTCCAAATTTTTAACATATACACTTCTCCATTCTTCTTGCCTTACGTAATAAAGTCAATACTTAAGAAGGAACTCACTCCACACGCAATTATAAACCCGTTGACAACGCTGCCGAGTCCAGTTGCCGTATTCAAATTTATCAACGCGTCAAAAGCAAAGAAATAACTCCATGATGAATTTCCATTTTTCAGTAATTTAGGCGCCGTGCCAATATAAATAAATAATCTTCAGCAAATGAAAATTTAACTTTCTATGAAATGGAAATTAACGATAGTTGTTAGTGACTTACAAAGTGCTAAATCCATACGCCGGCCAATTTTTGTATCACCAAGACTATCTTCAGACGTGTCTGAATCCAAGGGTAACGACATGCTCCTCTCCCATCTGAGAAATACATAAGAAGTGAACTAAATATGTGACGTTGTCGAACATGATAACAATATTAAGTTGCACATTAAATTTAACGTTTTCAAAATTAATTTCTCTGCACCTATTGATTATTATTAAAGTTAATATGTAAACTAAAAAATAATTTGCGGATCTAAATAAAGAATTATTTAAAATATAAGAAACGAAATACCCGTGCAGTATCACTGTTAGAATATTTACTACGAGGTATCGTCTCGTAGGTGTTGTAGGTGGCGACAGAGAGAAACTGAAATAGGAGATGTGCAGCAGAATCTACCTGAAAACAACTGAAAATTATCTTAAACTTTGGTTGCGTACCCGCCTGCCAAACATCGTAACTATGGCAAAATCCCTCCTTACGAGGCCATCTATTGGGCAAGCCTCTGTTCAGCATTAGATTTTTAGAAGTTATAACGGTGGATGGATGCATGGAAGAAAAAATATTGCTAAAATATATATGTAGTTGTTTATCAAGATTACGATTATTACATTTTTTATATGAGATAATTTAAAATTAAAAATTTTCTACAGCCGACTTCAATATAAGTTATTAAGAATAACTCAAAAACTATTGATTTGACCTTGCTTAAATTCATATGGGACCACACGAGAAGTACCAGCTTTCAAATAAAAAAAGGTAAAACACATTAAAAAAACATACAGTCGAATCGAGTACCGTCTCTTTATTGGAAGTTGGCAGAAAAATGTTTTAAGCCCAATTATAATTTCGACTTTTGCAACAATATTTGATATTTAATAGAATTAAACTTTGCAGATTTTATATTAGATCCCCGATATTTAGAATGTTTTATAGCACACTGTCACGGGTATTAAGCTATTTCAGATAGTGATAACAAAGCTATCTTCAGGTTTTAAAATTATTTTAAGCCAAACCTATACTTTGGTTTTAAATGAAGTTTTATTAAATGAGTAATATTTCGAAAAATATCATAAAACCAATATATGCGATTATTACCTGGCCGAAGAATTGCCATCTGATTTGTCTATAGCAGAACTGGATCTAAACGCGTCTGCCATATTAATACCGCTGTCGATAGAAGGTCTCTTCACTAAATTGCTCTCTATACCAGCTCGGCCTTTTTGTGACAAGCTGTAATTTATAAAGGAAAAACATAAATAATTTAAATTTTTACGTTTTAAAGCTAAATTATAAAATTATACACATATTGTATAATACACGTTTTGTTTCTTTGGTCTAATTTATTGCATACGTAATTGCAATAATAACAGCTTGCATTTTTGTCGCCGCTGTCCGTTGCTGGCTACAACGGGATAGGCCCATGTTTTTACCGGCTGATCATGAAGAAAAAAATATTTTTCAGTTCTTTAAAGGTTTTTTTTTTCATATATTGAGCTAAGTCTATTTTAAAAGGCCGCCAACGTGTTCCAGTTGTTCATCTGCGACAGTCAACACTTACTATTAGGCGAGCCGCATGCTCGTTTGCCACTCTTTTATAAAAAAAAAATATGGCGTATTGTGTAATAAATTTATTTTGTAAGTATTTTTAAAAATCGAAGGTTTCCTTCACGTTGACCTGTGCACCTTATTATGGTATAAGTTTTATCAAAGTTAAAGTCAAACCTTTTTATTCATTTTGGGCTTGTTTAAAACTCTGATGAACGTCAGAATCTACAGCAGTTCGCAAATAAAAGACTTTCTCACCGGCAAAAAAGGCTCTAGGTTCTTTTTTTAACCATAATGGAAAATAATTGACCACGAACTAAATGGGCCAAGTATCGATCCCTGAGGTAAATCGAGTTTTAACGTCCCAATTAAATTGTAATACTTTATACTCGGTTTGTGAGTTATGATCACAAGGATAAGTACAGCATCTCGACCTATATTAATGGTATTAATTATTCAGATTAAAAACCACTGCAAAACTTCTCTTATTTTTATTAAGGATGATGAAGTTAGTGGTAGTAGAACGATGCAAACGAGTGGTGGCCAAGCCAAGAAGTGACTTGGCTTGGCCATCATTCGTTTGCATCCACTGCCCCGTATTCCGTGGGTGTTGTAAGAGCCAACAGAATTACGAAACAGATGGGCTGGATCATTTTCTTGATAACAATTAAGATAGGACTATATGTGCCAAATTTCAAGTCAACCAGGCGTATAGTTTTGGAGAACTCGTGATGAGTGATTGTGTCAGTGGTATTTCGCTCATGATTTGTAGATTTACCAGTGTGGTCTACGGAACACAGCGTCACCACTGGGCGGATGGATGCGATCCAATAGAGCTGCGAGGCGCAAATGGCCTGCCCGCCGCGCAGCCGCGGCGGCGGCGCGTCCACCAGCCTCCTGTCGAGTGCCCGCGCTCCAGCGGGCTAGAACTACAGCAGTCTCAATATGCCCCGCAGCACTTGCAACCATCTGGAATGTAATATAAACAAATTTAAAAAAATTTCGCAGTTACTATTTTTAGCAGTTTCCAAAAAACGATTGAAAAATGAAACAAAAACTTTATTATTAAAAAATGTCAAATATCAAATTTTGCAATCCAAACCAAAAACTTAAATAACTATGTACAAAAAAACTAAAATAGTGACCCCCCATTAAATGAAGTGATGAGCTGGTAAAATTTGCAGGAAGTTTATGGATGCAGGTGGCTTGGGACCGCGCTTTGTGGTATTCCTTGGGGGAGGTCTATGTTCAGCAGTGGACCTGTAAAGGGCTGTAATTAATGTATTTCATTCATTTAAAATTAAATAAAATAACAACAAGCACAAACCAATAATTATGTATGGTCAATATAAATAAACGGCGATTATAAAACTCGTTATTACAATAATAACGAAATTACGAGTAACAAAGGCAGTTTGGAAAAATGGCAGCGGTCACGGAAAAGTTGAGAAGTGGTAGGTTATTGATAGATGAGAATATTATGCTGAAAAAGAAAATCGTGTAGCAGGATTAATGGATATAACAGACTTATTAAATATTGGTAAACTACAACCTGTGTACGTTAAGTTCCTGGGAATGAAGTGTCCACCGCGCAGCTCTAATACGTGTGCTTCATATCTTCAAAATATTTAGTTTTCTTTTTTTATGGAATAAACATAAACGATTTTTTAAATAAATTGTTTTACAAATAACAAATCAGATTGTAAAAAGTGGATGGATAAAAAAAGTAGAGAAATGATACGCGTAAGAAAGGAGTGATTGATGAGATGACAGCCGATAGAGGAGAATGGAAAAGAAAGGTATACTAATTTTTTTATAAAGTTTGCTCTCACCAAAGGGGTACAATTATCGCTGTCTCTTGCTCCTAAATTTACTTCTTTTTCCAAAGCTAAGCTGTTGTCATCCTGGCGCCAACGAAGTAGAACTGTAGTTAGTTTTGTAAATCCCAAAACAGCTGCTAAATGAAGAATTGTCGAATTATCTTCCCCAGGTTCAGTGGTGAAACCTTCTGCATTGCCATAAGAACGGGAACTAAGTATCTTGCAAAATGTTACAAGACGCTCTTCAAATTTTGGATTTGAGTACAGTTGAACATCTTCCACCTGAAAAAATATTTACGTTTTGTTATGACCTGATCATCAAAGTCCATAACTGGTCGCTACTAGGTATGAGTCCTTTTTGCAAATAAGAACATGTCAAAGTTGTAAATAATTAGCCTCCAAAATGAATGGTTAATCTCTATATATAAAAATCAATTTCTGTCCGTTAGTCTCGCTAAAACTCAAAAATGGCTGAACTGATATTCATGATTGTTTTGTGTATTTGAGTGGGTCATTGGATGATTTAGATTCACAATTGGACCTGGTAGGGGTTGCTGTTGTCGAAATCTGAAAATCGGATCACTAATTATACAATATGTAACAAAAACCTTGTGGTTCCTATTAAGTACGTCATCAGGATCATTATTCAAACGTATTGAAATAACTTTTTTCAAAACTCGAAAAATATTTTTTTTATTTTATTAAAAAAAAAATAATTGTACGCATGTTGTATGTGGTTTTATTACCTCTGCATTGTCTGGGGAGTAAGAGGATTGTCAAAGACCCCGCTTAACTTAGCTTTAGCATTGGCTATTGTCAGTAAGAGATAATAAAACCACATAAAATAAAAAAAAATAAAAAAGAATTAGTTAAGTTTAGAGTTTTTAAAAAAAAGTTATTTCTATAGGTTTGAATACTGATCCTGATAACGTACTTAACGCGAACCACAGGGTTTTTGTTACATTTTGTATATATAATTTACGTAAGTAACTTATTAAAGTTAATTATTATTATGATTTATTAAAATCATTAAAAGTAATTTGATTGTTTCACTACGCAATTTTATACTATTACATTTATAACCAATTTCATATTACGAACAATAAAGATTTTACATGTGTAATGCAATTTTGACCAGTAACCAAACATTAATATAGAATTAATAAACAAAATATGATAAAGTACAGCGTAATTTTGTTATAAATGAAAAACAATAAACTGACAAGCTCATAAATATCAGCAACTGACCTCATACAAAGAAACATAAAACATATTATATCACCTTACTTTTGATAATAAAATGGTTCACATCATGTAACTTCACCCTCCTTACTTTATAAACAAGAACATAATAGAGAATGCACTACTTCTTGGCTACACAAAAGGTAAGAGGCTGGTACACATCCCAACGAACTCGTAGGAAGAAAAGGAATCCTAATACTACGAAATATATTGACACTTAATGACGGTTAAATACCGTATATAAAGTGACTAAACGTTTGTCGGCAAAGCTACGGAACTGTGGATTTGAATCCAATCAAGTCCATCCCAATCTAATCTGGTGCTAGGAATTCTTTTCTGCTTAAGTGTCCGCCTGGATAGTGACAATTTTCTTATCTATTTCTGACGCCAAATAGTGCTTATTTCTTTTTTGTTACAGTCTGAAGAGTAAAAATATGAATATGGAATGCCTAAGCGATTATAATACAGGCTTAGGCATTCTATATTAGTCATCAGAGGTAGCAACACACCTGTTACTATCTCTATTTAAAGTTGTCTGCAGATTTCCATGGACTGCAGTAGACATTTACAATATTTTGGACCAAAAATGCAAAAAATCGATGATTTTGGCTCAAGCACAATTTACTTATCGAAAACATTTAAATAAAATTGCTCTTGTAAAGTAAATGTATTAGCAATGATATAATAGTAGTATTGAATGTACAAGTATGTCAGATATATTAAAACAAGTAAGAAAACACTGAAAGACGAAGATAGAGCATAATGAAGTGTTTTTTTTAGGTGGGGGATGAGCCAATATTGCTGATAACGAGGTCTTTCATCTTAATTTTTTTTATAGAATTAGGGTTACAAACAAGCACACAGTCCACCTGATGGTAAGTGGTTGCTGTGGCCCATAGACATCTACATCTATCTTCGTTTGCGAATCAAAATGCAGATGCGTTGTCAGCCGCGAGGACGAAGATAAAATGCCTCTTTTCCAGTAAAATAGGTCTCCGGTTCTCTGCACTCACCATACAAAACACAGCAGTGTTAAGCTCCTATTTTACGCTTTTATTCTGTGAGAGTGTGGTCCTTCCCCGGTCGAGTAGGATGTAGTGGATGTAGGTGTCTACGGTCTATCTATTTTAATTCAGATGGATTGTATGCCAGTTTTGTACCAAAAATATATTGAAGATATGCGTCTACATACCAACAGATATGCTCTATTATCACGCTTATTTATATATAAAAATAATCACCTGGTTGTTATCATCTGTAGGCTCAGACTTCACTTGTAATCGGCCATGTAATCGTTGTAATCGTTGCAAGAGTGAAAACCGCCTAAAATCGAGCGAAGGTAATGGTGCTGACGCAGGTGACGTCGGCGTGGGAGTAGGGCCTGCCTTATATTCAAATACCACAGTATCTGATACTACTCGACCGCCCCGAGCGACTTGTAATGCTGCAAGTCCTGCTTCATGAGCTGAAATAGAAATTAAAGTGAAAATATTCACAAATAATTATTACATCCCAAGAATCGTAATGTTATTGTGCTTAAATCAAAAAACATTTTTTTCTTATTTATAACAAGTAACTGATATTACACAAAAACAATATCAGGCCGTAAAACGATTAAAATATTTACCCGGACAATAACATCGTAATAAACCATTTTGAACAAGTATTGATGGAACAGGAAAATTATCAAATAGAACTGTGTATTGATCTGAGGTATCTGTCCATGGACCAGCAACTAAAACCTTCACTCCTCCCTCAGGATAAGCCCATTCTGGTGAATAATCAGTTATGCTTAGTGCCCCTTCATTGGCACAATCTGTTTGCATTTTTTCATTACTATCATCAGCAGGTGGTGACTTAATACACGAAATCTGAAATGAAATAATAGTAGAAATATATTTTAGTTAATATTTAATAATAATATACAAAATATAATAATAAAAATATTTTAAAATTTGGAATTCCAAACGATTTTTTTAATAACTTACCATGGGATTAGTTGATATAGAACTTGGATCAAGAACTTCTAATTCGGGAAAATCTCCTAGCATGTCAAAAGCGTCCAAATTTACAAAAACATTATCGTCTACTACTTGTGTTGGAGATGCTACTGCTTCACAGCTTTCTATGAAATCCATAGTATCTATGCCAGATACCATCACGTTAGCAGTATCTGAAGACCTTGTTCCACTTCTATTTACTTCACATGTTGGCATGTTTGCAGATAATGTTTTCTGTATATCTTCATGTGATAGCTCTAAGGTTTCATCAAAAAATCCACTAGAATGACCTAAACTTCCATCCGTACCTAATAAAACTAACGTATCATCACAGTTCTCTGTTAAAATCTTACTTTCTAAGCGTTCTACTAAATCTGGATAACGTGATGGTGTAGCTGGAGCACTAGCGATTACTTGATTCCTACTTCGTGGCTCCATTTTTATTTTCCTATCAAAATTTTCTACGTCTACTTTTTCTTCGACTTGGTTTTCCACCTCAAATTTGGAATCAGAATTCTGAAGACAAGAAGATGGCTGGCTATCTGGTATTTCCCTTTTTAATACGAATGTTGGTTTATATTGATGCCGATATCTATCTCTCGGCTCTTCGCAAACGAACGACGTTACTGATAAAGGAGAAACAAGTGACGAATGCTGTTGAGCACTATTACCAGCGCCATTTAAAATTAACAAGCCTCCGCCTCCTTGAATTTGCCCAAGAGATAAAAGTAGCGGTGAAGCTGACTGTGTTGAAGTTCTGTGATCTCTAGTATATTGACGAGGTGGATTTGATATGGGTCTTGGAGATGGACCAGTAGTAGAAGATACGTGGTGATCTGAGGGTGGTGGCTTTGCTGCTTGGATGCGTCGTAGAGGATGTGCGCACGTTCTAGAATCTTGGCATGTGGAATCTGGGCAACCGCACTCAAGTTGTCTTGCTAATGCCGCAGCCCTGGCAGCTCGCTGCTTCTCCATCAACTGGCCTACTATGGCTTCAACCGTTTCCGCAGTCTGAAACATTTTTCCCTGGGATTTTATTATAGTAAGAAGATCAGAGTACTCATGACTATGTTAATTTCAAAAGTTGGTAAATACATACTGATATTTCCAATTCGCTGTTAAGATCCGGTTCATCTTCACTGAAAACTGTAAGCAAATAAAAGTATTTTATTTAAATTTTAAAGCAAGTTAGATATTGTAATATATAATGTTTTTTCTTTTGCATAGTTAAGGGTTATTTGTCAAAAAGTAGCCAAATTTTAAGTTCAAAGATATAAATAATGATAAAACGTTATTGCTATTTTTCAAGATACGAGTAATTAAGGCCTCTACTTTTATTTGAAATCATCCGAAATTTTATGTGATTTATGGGCACCAACGTTTTTGCCTACTGATTGACCCTTATGAATGTGTGCGTGCGCAGTAAAATCATTTAAAATAATGCATTACCACGCATTTTTTTAAAATAGACAATGTCTGAGATATTTTTATTTAATTTTTCTTCACCGTTTGCGTATATTACTTATTCCGAACTTTCTCTGCAAATTCGGCCGGTTATTGCAAAATAATAGAGACGTGTGCCTTATTTATAATATACTAGTTGTAACCCGCGGTTTCACCCGCATCATCACGTGTCAAAGATGCGCGACATGACTTAGTTCAAGCATTTTATAATTGCAATTAAATAGTTTATTTAATAGCAATGTATGGAAAAATTGTCATAATTAATGGAGTACTTTTATCTGTCGACATATTATGTATGATGTAGAGCAAAGTTAGGTTTTATCCATTTTCCCTCCCCCTCCCAGTTGAGCGTCCCCCCCCCCCCCCCCCACGTCCCAGAAAGTGCCCTGAAGCGCGGTTTTTTCCAGTTTTAAAGAAATCCGTAGGTACACAATACATGAAAAGTGTGTGGGCATAAAATAATTCTTGAGCTATCAAACTCTTATACTTATTAATCAATAAAATTTTCAAAATACCATAGCAACGTGAAATGAAAAAGTTCAGAAATAAAGATGTAACTAATCATTGTCATAAAAGTACTCAATAAATTTTTAATTTATTTTAGGTATAATGATTAAACTAACCTCGCACATAGAAGCTTTCAATACTGGCTTATCGCAGTTCTCACCAGGCGGCTAGGGTTTATGCGTCGTTCGCGCACCCAGCCAAGTATTAAATTATTTTAATTTTACATTATCTCTTAAACTATGCGTCCAAATAACATGGTATAAGGAACAAAGTTTATCTTCATAAAATTGTCTTGATGATGAAGAACTTTCGTTCGTAGGGATAAATAGGCCATGCCTAATAATAACGCTCATATATCACTTTTTAATTTTCAATATTTTTTTGTGACAAAATACCTAATTATAGCTTATATATAAGAAATAGACATATAGTATCGCGGACTTCTTTTTAGACGGAGTAAAGGTCTATATTTTTCTAAAACATTGTATTTACGTATCCCTAACGATAACACCAGCGTACGCGGATAAATCATTTCTGGAGTGCTTTTTCTTCTGACTTGCCTAACAAATATCGATATTTAAGGCTAGCTCAGTGATATAGCTTAATGCTAGATAGCCTATACTATTTCACATAAATCTGGCTATAATATACAAAAAGAATTTTTCAAATCAGACTGGTAGTTCCAGAGATTAGCGCGTTAAAACAAACAAAGAAACAAACAAACTCTTCCGCTTTATTATATTATTATTAAGTGGCGAAACTTGCGAAGTCACTTATTGATTTCACGATGTCTGTCCGTCTGTCCGTCTGTCCATCTGTCCCACGATTATCTCGAGAACGGTTTCGAATTTTCAAATTCTGTTTTCAGCAATCGATTACTGATCACCCAGGCATCTGAACCTCCTATTTTGGAACTGATTGCTCACAGGCAACCATTAGAAACCGCTACAAAGCTGATTGCTTCGCCACTTTGTTATGCTGTTAGCTTGCTAGGTTTATTATAAGTATAGATTACGCAACATTTCAAATTAATAATTAATTTAGCTTAAGATAATCCTTTTTAATCGAAGAAAATCATATTATACAATTTGGATACAATTGAGAATTATAAATTAATAATGTTTTTCGTAATTATTCTGAGATACCGATAAGTAATTTGTTTACAGTAAACATTCATGCATAGTCTTAACTGAAAAAACGTTATGAGTTTTAAAAATAATAATGAACGTCATAAAAAGTCATAAAAATTTAATTTATATTAATAAATAAAAACCGATTCTAAAATGAAATGAAATTATTTCTACATAATAGCTCCTAAAGCCTTAACTAAAATATTCTTTTTTGTTATAAGTTTAATATTTTTTACGTTTTGAGTTGACTAAGGAATATCAAAAGTTCAAGGTTATATGAAACCCCTGGAGTGGAGAAGAGAGAGTTATAACCTATTTAATAAAAGACAAGTCATTGAAATCCGAGAAATTGGTGAAAGTATATTAAAAAATTAGTATATTAAAAAAACCTTTCTTGCTTTCCGAAGTATTTTAAAAACAATAATTATAATAAGAGAATAAACGTAATAATTTTAGTTCGATTTGTTTTTCAATTAAGTATTATATATAAAGGTATAAATTTGCTGCAACATAACATAAATGTGTCTATAATATAGAAAGAAACAAAATTATTTAATGATTTAAATATTTGAAATAACATATATATGATAAGACGATGCCGCCAATCCTAAATTAAAATGAAAAGAAGGAAGGAATCAAGAAATCATACGACACGAAAGATCCATTCTTACCAAATTGTGGTAAAATTTCTCGTAAATCAATATCGTAATATTTGTTTCGTATAAACACAAGTAGTTTAACAAAAATATATTTTAAAAACCAGAACCGTATTTTTACTGACAGCGAAATCCATTTAAATGAATTCCGAAAGTGATCTCATTCATGAGAATCTGGGATTCAAACCGAATAATAAAATTGATTTTCATTTCCCTCCTGATGAATATTCAACAGTGGACCGTCAACTTTCTTTGTAAGTTTTAATTTGTTATTTGTACAGTTATGCATTTTTGTTTCTAATTTTGAATATATACGTTTTAAAAATATTGTCGTCTAATAATATTTGGAAGCCCATGTTATACTAAGAAAAAGATATTTATATTCATGTTTAAATAAAATGTGTTTTAATTATAATTTTATATTTTACAGAACGGTTTATATTATTTGGTAACTTTTTTTTTATTGGATAAGGGTGACAAACGAGCACACAGTCCACCTGATGGTAAGTGGTTGCTGCTGCTCATAGACATCTACATCTATCCTCTATTACAAATCAAAATGTAGATGCGTTGTCACTCGTCAGGACTAAGATGGAATGCGTCATTTCCAGTAAAAAGGGCCTCCGGCCACCTGCACTCACCAAGCGAAACGCAGAGGTAAACCTCTACTTCACGCTGGTTTTCTGTGAGGTCGTGGTACCACCCCGATTCGAGCCGGCCCATCCGTGCGTCAGTAAAAGCTGCCGCGTGGCTCTACCACTGTTAAAAAGTTAACTTGTTATACTGCGCTTAGTGTATTTTTTTCTTATTCATACTTACTTACTTATCTTCACGCACAATCCCTGACGGGGTAGCCAGAGAGAACAGATCGCCAAGTGTCACGATCCTCACAAACCTCTTTCGCTTCTTTCAGATTCATTATCTTCTTCATGCATGCACGTCTAGGTATCCGAGTACTTTTGACCCTACCCTCTTCGAGCAATTTGCTCACATGGTCTTCGAAAGTTAGTCTCGGTCTACCTCGACACCTTTTAATATTAACTTTCGCGCTATATATTTTCTTCACCATTCGGTCTTCACTCATTCGCTCAACGTGCCCAAACCACCGAAGCACGCCCTTATCAATTTTTGTGATAAGGTCATCTTTCAAACCTGCCATATTGCGAATCTCTTCGTTTCGCTTTCGGTCGGCCATGGTAACGCCGCACATTTTACGAAGAGATCGCATCTCCACTGCATTCAACTTACTTTTATGCTTCTTCTGGCATACCCAGGTTTCGCTGCCATATAACAAAGTCGGTACCAACACTGCGTTATGTATTGCAAGGCGTGCACTCTTCGCTACGCCTTGCCTTTTGACTAACGCAGTCAGGGCACCATTGACTTTCTTCCCGGCAGCGACACGCCTGTCCACATCTAAATCACATCTTCCATCCCGGCTAAAAGCACTCCCCAAGTATACAATTTCATTTACCTGTTCTAGACATTCCTGATTTACCCATATTTCACACTTCGTTCTCTCTTCGTCCCTTTCAAATACCAGAACCTTAGTTCTTCTTATTCATCAGCCGGTAAAATCCACTGCAGAGCATAAGCCCTATGTAGGAGGGATTTGCTTCAGTCATCACACTTGCCATGCGGATGGACTATCTAGCACCTTTGATACTGTTTTCGATCGCCAGTAAACCTGGCGTAAATAATATGGGTTACCCATAGGCGTAAATAATATGGGTTACCCATATTATTTACGCCAGCCATCTGTCGGAATCCATAAGATGTTTTTAAAAGGTCACATAAAATAAACTGTAAAACACCAATAGAACGAAATTCTGTGACGGGTTCTCTTTGGCCGCCATGAAACGACATGTGACATATGAAATTAATTTGCAAGTACTATACTGTATAATGTAGTAGAAGCAATTATTACTTAATAATAATGCCTACCATGCCAAATTTCTAGTCACGGTGGCCCATCTTAGCGGAAACTAGTCATCTGATTAGAACAGGATCCTAGTGCACGAGTGTATGCGCAAGCACAGGTGCACTCTAAATTTCCTTACTCTCGTAGTTCAATGGTTTGGCAATACGACACGAACGGAGAGAGATCAGGTGCAGAACCAATGGCTTTACTGTCTTTCTGATGCACGGGGGTGATACGCCGCCAATTTCCTAACTCCATGCAACTCGAACTATTGAGAATTTCTTCACAGAAATATCAATAATTGATTTTTCCCGAGCCTGTATTCAAACCCGCGACACCATGATCAACAGCCGCATTTAAGACCACTATACCAATGAGTCGGTGAGTATGATCTGTATATTATAAAAATGATACTTAGAATGAAAAACGGCACCTAATTCATCTAGCGATGGCTACAATAGTTCATCGTCTGTAGCTGCCAATTACGCCCCACGTAGTATACGAGCTCATGTGTATACCAAAATACTTACACATCGGTTTAAGTTGGCTAACCAATTCATCCTTCGTCCATTCCTTTTTATCTGCCCACAGTGCCAAGCTAGGTGCCACTGTAGCTAGCTTGTTGTCATCCGGGTACGGCACATTTAGGTAATGCACCAAGACTATATCAGGATTCTGAAATTAAACATAAAAATAATCAATTAAGCACCCTTATGTTATTAGTTCGGAAGTGTTTATTTCATTTTTAGGGTGACAAACAAGCACACAGTCCACCAAATGATAAATGTTTCCTGTGACCCATGTAGATGTCTCTACATCTACAATCAATAAAGAACCAAAGTGCAGAATGCGTTGTCATCCTTGAGGACTAAGATGGAATGCCTCTTTTCCAGTAAAAAGGCTCTCCGGTTCTCTACACTCACCACACGAAACACAGCAGTATTAAGCTGCTATTTAACGCTGGTATTCTGTGAGCGCTTGGTCCTTCCCCGGGTGAGCCTACCCATTCATGCTACAACTATACTACTAGTATAGCGGCAGCATGGCTCTACTACGTATAAATCTCTACCACGTATACCAGAGTTAATACCTTTAGCAAGATACTAATTAATAACTGCAGGCTGTGAGGCATTCCATCTTAGTCCTCACAGGTGACAAGGCATTTGTAGACTTTTTGTTTATATTTGGCTGCAGATGTCCATGGGCTGCATTAGCCACTTACCATTTGGTGAACTGTAAGTTGGTCGGTCACTTTGATCATATAAACAAAAAAATTGAAAGAAGCTGTCATAGTTTATAAATGTAAAATTTTGGAATGGAATTTACATTTATGATTAGACAGCTTAAATAAAACAAGCTCTCATTTTATCGTATAAGTACTTTTATATTTTATAATATGAAAAATATTATATATTAAAGTAGTTATATTACGAAGTGGTCGATCGATTACCTTCTTCACCTGTAAATGTATAAATGTTTAAGTAAATTTGTAAATTACTCAGGTAATGGACTGATTAGGCCAAATATTTTTTTTTAGTATCAAGCCAAATAACAAATGTATCTTTTTGTAATTTGGCTTGATACTAAAAAAAGTATTAAGAAGAACGCGTGGCAGCATTCGACGTGTATGAAAATGTCACACTGTAAAACTTATGTAAGAGCGTGTTTCAGTTTGAGAGCGTGTGAGTTTCCGTTTCCCTCAGTCACTTATTTCGACACCCATGGAATGACTTCGGGTAGCAGATTATCTTACGCCCTCACTTTGCGACCACCCAATACACTTCACTTTAATACAAGACTTAAAAATTGTCATATACAGGGTTATTTTTTTAAGAGTAGCCAAATTTTAAACTTAAGTTCAAATATTTAAAAACTAATTTTACGGATTTCATCGCGTATATTAACTTATTTTACATTCCCGACGTTTCAAGCACTTTACAGCACCCATGGTCACGGGGGGACTGACGTGTATGACGTCCCAATGTCGTTTTTAATCTGGAGGTAGCCGTGGTTAACTATGAAATTGAGACGTCATACACCTCAGTCCCCCCCGTGACCATGGGTGCTGTAAAGTGCTTGAAACGTCGGGAATGTAAAATAAGTTAATATACGCGATAAAATATGTAAAATTAGTTTTATTTAAATGTGTAGTGTTCGCGTAAATATAAGAAATCATTAAGTTCAAATATATAAATAACTAGCTGTTCCCTAACTTCGTCCATGTGTAATTTAGGGTTTTAATTTTTTTTCGCGGTCCCTTTATTTTTTTTTAAGTTACTCCCTCGAATTCCAGCAATTTCGGAGATTATCCGGAACAAACAGACAGACAAAATTTTAGAAAATTATGTTTTGGTTATAAGTGCCGTATGTACATTTAATGTGCATTTAATAAAACGCAGTTCTTTTGATATTACAAACAGTCACTTCAATTTTATTTATTTGTATAGATAAATAATGATATACCGTTACTTTTTAGTTTTTAAAAATACGAGTAAATAAAGCTTCTACTTTAATTTCAAATTATCCCAAATTTAATGTGATTTATGGGCGACAACATTTTTGCCTACCGATCGACCCTTAGGAATGAGTGCGAAGTAAAATCAGTAAAAATAATGCGTTATCACGCGTTTTGAATTTAAAGGACAAAATGTTTAGTTTTTTTTTTATTAATGTTTCATCAGCATTTGCATATATTACTTATTATGAATTTTCTCTGCAAATTTTGCCGGTTACCGTAAAATTACCCTGTATGCCGAAGGACTCGCTCGTCGGAGCGTTAAATGTAACTGACACACACATCGGTAAAGCATGATCTTTGACAATAGGACCACTTCTAATTAAAGTGTTAAACAATGTTATTTTCAAAGATGAATTTTTAATATGTTTGATGTTATTTAGGACAAAACCTTCAATTTTAAAACTTTTAGACACAATCTATTCGATGATAATGTTAATTTGTAATTTTTGGTGAATCAAACCTCCTAGGTCTGTGATGAGGTCATGTAATGTAAAGTTCTAGCCTATTACATCCCACCACAGGACCTCTCTAATTTCTGAGAGAGTTTTAGGGCAAAGAGTCCACCGCGCTGCCCCAATGCGTGTTGGCGTTGGATTGTTTTTAAAATATTTTCTCTCTTATTTTTAAACATGCAGGTTTCCTCACAATGTTTGCTTAGCACGTGGCAAATCAGCACTTAAAAAATTGCAAATAAAAATTTCATTCTTACACCCACCTACCCCCCCTCTCCCCAATGTAGAGTTAATAAAACCACATAGAAATTGCAAATAAAAATTTAAATTAAATTTCATTTTTTATGGATGAGTTTTCTTAATTAAAGTTATTTTTACACGTTTGAATACTGATTCAGATAATGCACTTACCGAGAACCACAGGTTTTTGTAACATCTTGTATATCTACGTATTCACAAGAAGCGCGTTCTCTCAATTTCAATATCCTTGCATAGATATAATTTCTAATAATATATTGTTGGGAATGAGGCTAAAAAAATAAAAGGAAATACGTAATAATGAAGGTAGAATGGTAATCTCCCATTCTACCTTCATTTAACCTATATTCTTAATAATGTAGCAGTATAAAGTATCGCACAGGTGATAAGAGACATCAGTATGTAACTAACTAACTTGCTCAGTTTTTTTACAAACGCCTTCGGAATGAGGTTTCCAAGTCAGCTTGCTGTCGACTAATATACCGAGGAATTTCTCAATATTTGTTAAGTCCAAATTTTGTCCATTATAACTAATCATTACGCAAGGCGGAGGTTTTCGTTGATAAAAGTGCATTACTTTTGTTTATTTTGAGATTAATAACTAGGTTATTAACATTAAGCCATTTAATAATACTTTTTAATGTTCTATTAATCTCACCTTCATTATCGGTTATGTCATTACATTTTATTATGACCGTACTATCATCTGCATATAATATCATAGGAAGTTGTGTATGCCGTGGTAAGTCATTAATATATAGGAGCAACAATGGTGGCCCAAGAATGCTACCCCGTGGTACACTATATTTGACTTTTCTACTGTCTAATGTATATTTAATCTCGCGTTTGGTCTTAGAATATATTCTAGAGATTTCTGTGTACTGCGTTCGGCCACTGAGGTAAGAGGTTATAAGCTCCAATATTTTTATTTTTCCTAAATCGTATTTGTTTATTACACAGTATATTATATTTATTCAGATTTTTATCTATTGATTCGTACCTTAGAAAACATTGGAATCAATGCTACTGGCCTGTAGTTGGACATATCTTGTTTGTTATTCTTTTTATGATGCGTTTTTATTGCAAAAGTTTTCAGGCTATAAAGAAATATACCAGAAGCAATACTAATATTTACAATGTGACTTAAAGGCCCAGCTATAATATCGCTGACAATTTTAAAGACATTGGTTGTTATACCATCGTAGCCATGACTTTATGTACGTTTAAGGGTTTTGCATACTTTGGTGTTATCATGTAATTGGGGTCCGGATAGTAAGCAGGGTTTGTTACTGAGTAGTGTTCTTTCATTTAAATAACTTTAAGAATAACATCAGATCTAACATAAGAAGTGGAATAGTTTCTTACAATATTCATATTATAATATTTTTTAATTATTACTTATATTGACTATCGCTTAAAAAAAAGGACGCAACGCAACAATTATTCTGAAAAAATATAAAGGAAACTCAGTTTTATTAATTATTATTGAGTAGTTAGCTGGAAGATACAGCTGCCCATCTCCTAGATCAATTTCCCTCTGCCGCCTCTTACGACACCCACAAGATAATGTCCACTACCAGAGTTCATTATGTTTTATATGCAGCTACTACACCATTGCACCGAGCAGATCTGTTCTATAAAAAATTAATACAAATAAAAAAAGTGCTGGTAGGTTTTCACGGCACGGTTCTTTGAACGATGTCATTCGAAGGATACTTGTCTCTATAAATGTTCCCTCGGTTGTTGAGCCTTGTGGAATATTTAGAGATGATGGCAGGAGACCCGACGGTATGACATTGGTCCCCTGGGAAAGAATTAAAGCCCTAGTGTGGGATGCTACTTGCGTAGATACTTTGGCGGCCTCTCATCTCAAGGGTACCTTGTTTAGAGCCGGGGTGGCATCAGAAGGCAGTTAAGTAAGTGGCGCAAATATGAGTATCTGAGAGACGACTACATATTTGTGCCATTTGCTGTAGAGACTATTGGTCCGTGGGTTCGACGTGCGTTGAAGTTCCTAAAGGAACTCTATCCGCGATTGGTCTTTGCTGCTGGTAATAAAAGGACTGGTTCTTTTCTCGCTAACAGTCTAAGTATAGCCATTCAGCGAGGAAACGCAGCGAGGAAATGCAGCGAGCGTTCTTGGCACGATACCACGGTGAGTAGGACTATATGATAATTAAGGTTAGTATTAGGTTTTTTTTTAATTATAGTTTTATAATATTGTATATAACTCTTACTATTAAAAATACAAAAATTATTTGAAATGATTTTAATGCATAGGTCTTAAATTTCTGTTTCTCGTTTAAAAACTTTAGTAAATATTTCGAGAAACATAAATATGATAAAGAAAAGTGTGAGCACTAAAAGAATTAATGAAGCAATGAATACTACTTGCTACGAAGAACAACGAAATATGTAAATACAAATACGAGACTTAGCGACGCGTG